TTTGGCGGCACATTTGATGAATATTGTGGCACACAAAAGTGCTGTGACACAGTGGTTGTGAGTGACTGCACTAAAACAAGGAACAAAGATTCTCTTACCAATTTGTGCCGATGCAAGAGTAAGACATAGCTATTCACTTTGACCCCCACGCAACTAGTAGACTTATCCTCATAACCATAGTTACCGCCACAAGGGGAGATGCACATTTGGAGGAGTTCTCCTTAAAGGTGCACTATGCGTGCACAGTGGAACAAAAAAAAAAAAATCACCCTGAATAACTTTCTTTCTAATGATCTGATTTTCACGTACTAAGTGTCAATCTTAATGGTTCCTGGGGGTGACCTCAAGTATGCAAATCATTTAGTGCTAACTATTAATTAAGTTGCAAAATCGGACACAAAAACATACTTTCTCTGAATAAGCATCTAATTTTTTTGCATATTTAGTTTCAGCCGCAATCAGAAAAATATGGTCCCCATAGTTGGGGCAGGAGAGCGATTGGCGCAAGTTGTGAGCAATTTATTGAAAATATCTAATTAAATATTTTTCGTGTGATAAATATCTTTTTCAACCAAATTGAAATAAAAGAAGAGGGGCAAATGTATGGTATTGTAGAATTAGTTTGCTACTAATCTTTATTTGTAACAAAATTTTTGTTTTTTTTCTCCTTAAAATTCTCAAATGTAGATAGATATATTATGAGCATTTCTATCTCCTTCGATGTGCAAGAAAGGCATTTTTTGAATATTCACCTAATTTTTCACCTTTAAAATTTATTCACCAAAGAGCATCTCATCTGTACTATAGGGACTGTGGAACTGGGGGGGATGGAGGGGACTGCAGCCCCTCACTTTTCATTAAAGAAGCCCCTTCTAAAATTGAAATTTTTCACTCAATATTAGTGTAATTTAATTTACAATTAAAAAAATATATATAAACACAATTTTTTGTGTCTGAATGTTAAAAAAATGCCTTTAATTCAAGTGAGCTTTAACATTTCTTTGGTGAAAACTACTACCAAATAATTCTGTACTCTTCCTCCTACAAAGGAAATATATGTCCCTATTCCTGCCTGATGGGAAAAGTTTTGGTAAAAATACTTCGCTTATTCCTCAACAGATGGTGCTATTGCCAATACTGCAGTACATTGAGTGTTTATAGTTTAAGTAATTATAAAGAATGGTTTAAAAAATTTTAAAATTAAGTTTTATGTACATATTTTTTACTTCGCTAGATGTAAGTGCTTATATTATTTCCAATTTTAAATTTCTCTTTTTGAGTTACATGATTATGCATGATGTATCAAAACTTTACTCGTAGCCCAAAAAATCTCGCTAGTAAAATTTCCGTTATTTTATTTCTCCAATGTTGACACATATGGTTTAAGTGCAAAAGTAAAGCACGCTAGAGATACATCTGCAAGCTAACATAAGTTATTGAAATAGTATATTTCACTGTTAGTGGTAGTACATAAATATGCTTTTCTTTTTTGTCCGAATGGCTTTTAAAATTTCAAAACTCTTTAATTTATTAAATTAAATTTATTAATAAATTTATAAATTAAATAAAATTTATTAAATTTATTTCTTTATTAAACTCGTAAATTTATTAATACTTAAATTTATTTAATTTATTAATACCGACTATTAATAGTTTATCTTTTTTGATAGCAAATTTAAAATAGATCTTTTTATTATAGTTCTTGAAATGAAAATGTAATCAGCTTTATAAACAATTGGTGCTTATCAGCTATTTGTAGCATTATGCAAGTTGGGTAACAAATAGGAAAATGCTTGATTTTGTCACCAGCAAATGATAACACACATTGATCAGTAACTGCGGAAATATCTCAAGAGTGGGGGGCTCTTTCCCCTCTCCAGTGTGTGTATAAATATATATATCAGGGGTCTGTTTAAAAGAAATTTAGGTCCGTTAACGAACCTTTCACAAAATATCTTTTCATAAAAACGGACCTTTCACAAAATATTTTAACTTAAAAACGGACTCTTCACGAAATAATTTATCTTTTAATCGAACCCTTCCCAGGGGGAAGAAGAAAGAAAGATAGATGTAAACGAACTAAGTTTTGTCTTCGGCAGACGCTTCTTCCATTATTCGTCAGAAATGAATATTTCTTTAACTCTTTGAATATGACTTTTTCTTTACAAACTGAGAATTTTGTTTATTTTCGTCTAATAAAAAATGGTGACCACTGAAAGCGTAATCTATGGAATATTTAAGAATGTTATTTCAGCTATAGTAAATTATTTTATGTGGTATAACATTATTTAAGTATGTTCAGCTGTTCTTTTTCCCCCCTTCAATTAAAACTAGAATAGTTAGCCCCCCCTCCCCGTGGGAGAATCGCGGCTACACAGCGACATTATTGCAGAACGTTAGAGTTCTTGCAGAAAAAATTTTCCTTTAGAAAGTAAAGCATTTTGGTTTAAAATTATATTTAAAAGATGCCTTTTTCGCTCATCAGAGGGGAAAGAAATGTTCAAAAATTTTCCATTCTAATTTGAGAAGAATGAAAAATAAAGATTATTGACATTTCTATGCTGCAGAAATGTTTGAAATATTTTTTCCCTCCACAATTATATTCAATCGATGCCTTTTTCGCGCATCAGACTGGAAGAAATGCTTTTTTTTTTTCATTTTTAAATTCTTAATTAGGAAAAATATAAAAATTTTTTTTTTCTATCACAGATTTATTGATTTTAATTTTTTTTTTATGTGGTGATGATTTACGAAAAGCGGAAAAAAAATAATTAGTGTGTTTTCCTCTTACAAAATAGGAGAATATCGCCCACGATGTTAGAATTAATATTACATAATCATTTAAAAAAAATACCTACAATTTTATTATATCCAGATAGACTTTTTTTGTAAATACAATGTTTCTGTTACTTTGAATTTAAAAATTTAATGAATAACATGTATATTAATTATTATTAATAGTACCTTGTATTAAAAGATATTAGTGCTAGAGAGGTTTGTCGCAGAAAGCCCAAAACAATTCTGCCCCAGGGGGTTAGTCCTATATAGCTCACACAAGAGCACAGTAATTGTTGTTTCTTCTTATTATATTGTGTGTAAAAAATATGTACAGGGAATGAGATGAGAGGTTGCATGCTGTATGGATACCCCAAACATGCATAAATTATGTATTTGAGAACACAAGACTTGGATCAGTTAAATCTCAACTTTGGTCTCAATATAAGGGAGAGTTTTTAAGAGCTTTTGTCCAAAAAGTTAAATAAAACTGGTGTCGCAAGCTGAAACCCATTTTAATTATTAATTAAATGTGAAAAAAATGGTAAGTTTGATTATAACTTTTTAACATAAATACTTGGTTATGCTGTCTTTCAGTTTGCTTAGTTATTTTGAGCAGCCGCCATTAAGCTAAACAATTTTTTGCTTTACAATGTATTGCTTACGATTTGTGTACGCTTTTAACCTCAAAAAATTTATAGAAGTTCAAGTTTGTTTTGTTTTGGTAACCCCCCCCCCATTTATTATCTTACCATTTGTTGGTTTAGTTAAGTGATCCTCAACCACTGTGCCGCGTCACTTTTGTGTGCCGCCAAATTTCAGAAATAATACAGTAAAAATTATAATGCTTTTTTTATCACGAGTAAAGTTTAAATTAAAGTGTGTGTGTATATATATATATAAAATATTATATATGTACTTTTTATAATATTTTCAATCTTTGGCAGCGATTGTCGTGTCTTGACAATCTTAAAATGTTAAAATAAGAAGGAAATTTAATGACTATTAAAATTTTTAATCATCAAAAGAAAACAAGCTGAATATTAATAAATAAAAGCTAATTAAAATAAGGTATGCAATTACTAGTTATCAAAGCAAATTAACAAAGGATGACTTAACAACAAAAAACAAGTTAACAGGGAATCACAAAAAATAATTAATATTAAAAAAACTAACAATTAATAATTTTAAAAAACAAGCTAACAATTAATAAATGTAAAGGAAATAACAGTTAACTTATAATTAATCTCTTAATACTGTTGTTTTAATAATACATATTTTATTTCACATTTAAAATTATTATCTTAAGCTATTTTACACTGTGTTTTACAGGTAAGTGAAAAACTTTGTATTTTTTTTGTGCCGAAAAATTTCGAAATCCTTATTAAGTGTGACGCGACAAAAATAAAAAGTTGAGAGTCACTGATATATTAATAGCAAATAAGTGCAGAGTGTGATTTTGGTAAAATTGCTTACGATTTCTCCTTAGTTTTTGAAATCCGATATTATTTATTGCAACGATCAAATCTTGAAACGAAACACGCATTTGAGTTTTTGAAGAGTCTGACTTTAGGTGATCTGTTTTTGGGTATCTGCTGATAAAGATTTCTTTTAATTAATTATTCTACTTTTTTAAATGTGATTTACAAAATACGACAAAAGAAATGAGTTTTTTTCTCCCCAACAGAATGCGAGAATAATTCCCATAATCTTAGAATAAAAAAAAATATTACATGTTCAATGAAAATAATTGTGTTTTTTTAAAAAATTTTTATAAACAGCGTTTTTATTACTTTAGATTAGTAGCATAAATCTTTGTTATTATTGAAAGTATCTCCCCGAAAGATTGTACCTTATTGTTTGCAGCATGTCCTCATTTGGACCTTGTTTCACTAAACCCTACACTTAATCAATCTATCCTGCTGAAAGTCCGAAAAAATTCTACCACAAGGGGTTACAATATAAACAATTTTCGGTGAGAATTGTTGTAAAAGTACTGAGATATTCATAAAAAACAACTTATTTATTGAAAAAATTCCTGCCACAGGGATTTACAATATATAGAATTTTCGGTAAGAATTATTGTTAAAGTACAGAGATAAGCAAAAAAAAAAAAAAAAAGAATTTTTTTTNAAGAATTTATTCTTATTTATTGAAAAGGAAAATGTTTGATTTTTATCAGGAAAACATTGAATTTAAAAAATATTCTTTTCCTTTGATTATAGTGTCGGCCGGAATACAAAGTGCCAGGCTTGTATGTTGTGGATTCTATAGTGCGACAATCGCGCCATCAGTTTGGCGCAGATAAAGATGTTTTTGGTCCAAGATTTGTTAAAAATATCAATAATACCTTCCAGCACTTATTTAAATGCAATCCAGATGATAGAGTGAGTCTCTCTTTTTATCTTCTCTCTTTTAATCTTTGAGGATACATTTAATAATATTTTTTCTTTTTATCTTCTCTCTTTTAATCTTTGAAGATACATTTAATAATAATTTTTTTTTTTTTATCTTTTGTATTAATCTTTGAGGATACATTTAATAATATTTTTTCTTTTTATCTTTTCTATTAATCTTTGAGGATAGATTTAATAATATTTTTTCTTTTTATCTTCTCTATTAATCTTTGAAGATACATTTAATAATATTTTTTCTCTTTCAGCCTAAAATAATCAGAGTATTAAATTTGTGGCAGAAAAATGCAGTTTTTCCCATTGATGTTATTCAACCACTCCTAGATATGGGTCATCCTAATAGCTCAACTGATTGTAAGTTATTTCCTGTTCTCTACAAGGTGTCATATCAAAAACCCCTTTTTTGACATAGTTTTTGATAACTGCCAGAAACCTAAAATTTTAGAGTAAAAAGATAATTTTATAATGATGATGATATACACATTTTCTGTTAAAAGGATCTAAAATTTAAAAAAATGGTGCGTAGCGTTTTATAAAAAGTGCTTAAAGATGTTTATTATCGATTTTCGTTATTTAAAAGCCCTTGAAGGTGTTTCTTTTCATTGGGTGTTCTTAAAAAGTGCTTAATTTTCCCTTTTCGAAAATGAGAATTTTTTCGTTACCATGCCCATTTTCGCCACGTGTTATGTAAAAGCGTGCTTTTCACACTGTTCTATTCAACGTTTTCACAATTAATTTCTTCGTACTGTCGGTCCATAGCGTATTAAAGCGCCAATCATTTTGCACTTTTGATGAAATACTTGCTAGTCCGCATGTGCGTCTACAGAGCTGTTTTTGGTGAGATTATTGCCTTCTCATGTGCAACTCTGCTGCATTTTGCAAGATATTCTTAATTTCGGAAAGTAGCAGATGTTTTTCCCCGCCATTCTTCCGAAAATGTCACTCTTCTCTGGGGATGTCGTAGATAGCTTACCTCACCCGTTTTAAAAATTTCTTAAAGTATTTGTAGTACATAAATAATAGTTTTTACGTAGTTTAAAATAATTATTAAATAGTAAATTATAAATGATTATAATCAATTATATAAATAGTAATAGTTAATTATAAATATAAGGAAAATATTAAATTGAAAGGACTAAATAAATACAGCTAATGTAAAACTTTATGAAGCATATAAATGCAGTAATTAAATAAAAATCTTTTTGCACATGCTATAAAAAAATTACAGTAATTACCTAACATCTTTAACAATCATAATCATCATCATAATTATCTAACTTTCGCTTTTGAGCTATCGTACTTTACAAACACCATAAAAAAGAACGCTCCAAGATAAGCATAAAAAGAGCAAGGTAAAAAATTTTTTTTTTCGCGAGTAGGATTCTTTCTTAACATAATCAATGCAGAATAATAATGGCGAACGAGCTCGTCTCATCAGCACGATTTGATTGCGAGCCGAACTCATTCATAACCATCAAAGGGTTAATAGTATTTAATAAATTGTTTTCATGATGTATCGAATAAGATGAAATTTGGTTAACAAGAAATAATTTAATAAGAAGAAATAATAATAGTCCCACAAATTTCTCGTTAACGAGTTTCGAGTGTATTCATTTCAAGTATTTTTTAGTAGCAACAAATTCTGCTACTGATTTGAAATTATGCTCTAGGTTAGGAGCCTGGAGTTATGTTTTTATTTTTAATTTGTTGCTTTTACATTTAGGGCCTAATGAAATTCAGACTGAAATAAAAGAAAGTCCACTCAAATGTGAGTACATACTTTAAAATATTTTCTCTTTTTTATTCTAACTGATAAGTAAATATTAATCAGGGTGCATAGCATTTTTGAAAAGTGCTTAAAGATGCATATTTTCGATATTCGTTTTTTAAAAGCCCTTTGGTGCTTTTTTCATTGAGTGTTTTTAAAAAGTGCTTAATTTCCCCTTTCCGAAAATAAGATTTTTTTCTTTACCATGTCGATTTTCTCCACGTATTATGCAAAAGTGTTGTTTTCACATTGTTCTATTCAACATTTCCACAATTTATTCAACAATCTATTTCGACATACAGTTGGTCTGTAGCATATGACCGCTCCAATCATATTGCATGTTTGATTAAATGTTTGCGAGTGTGCAACTCTGGCTGCATTTTGCACGATATTCTCAATTTCCGGCTTCATTTTCCACCCTCTGGTATCTAACCGAAAAATCTCATGATCATTTTATAATGCTAATATAATCAAGAAAAAGTTCTTTGTCAGAAACTAGTTATTTTATCATGATAATGTATGTAGTGGCTTAAAAATATTTTTTGTGAAATTAAAAAGTACTTATTTTTTGTTGAAAGATTTGGCTACTCACCCTGTTAATATCCAAGGCAAGATGTGCTCTTTTGTTGTCTATGTTTATTCTTAAGAGGAGGCTATACTTAGGTAGAAATTTTTTGTGGTCAACCAAGTTTAAAACTTGCTGTACTGTAATGCTGTGTAATTCTAATCTCTATCAATTATTACTTTATTATCACTAATTATAAATATAAACAGAGTTGGGTGATATTTAGAGACCTCTATGACAGGGTTTGTTGATTTAAATCACGATTTAAATCAAATGATTTTTTTTTAAAAAAAATCATTGATTTAAATCAATTGATTTCTTATATATACATATATTGACTTAAAAAGTTAAAAAACAGTGTTTTAAATTATTGATACTTTAATATTTTCTTTTCCCAGTTTTAAAATTTAAATTGTTACATTTAATAATTTTAGTGAACAAAATTATTTTGCTTGGTGTGTGTTAAATTCCAACACATTTGAAATTACACTTTTAAAAATCTTTTGATTCTTGAGATTGAAAGTAAAGTAAACATTTGAGATTGAAAGATTAAAGTAAACATTTAATGCTGTCTTAATATAGACTTGCATAGCTGTTGAAATTAATTCTTAAACATGAATTCTTTTTACACGAAAAATACAAATAATAATTAAAATTCTACCTTTTGATTGAAAAAGCATGAAATTAAAATCTACAATTTGTTTTATTGATGGAAAATGTATATTTCTAAAGCTTGAGATTATCTTAAAAAGGAATTACCCTAATATGCCAAAAATAGGGTTTAAGTTCTCTATTTCATCTAGTCTTTAAATTTCAATCATGCGTTTGTTTCAAAATGGTAGCTATGTATTATAACAAAAAATTGTTTTAGGTAGTTAGAGCGTCTAAAATATTGTTATAATATAGTTTTAATATTAATTTAATTTTGATTAAGTATTTATAAAATATTTGAGTCATAAATCAAAGTTCTTTCAGGGAATTTGAATTTAAAAAAATCTGATTTAAATAAAAAGAATCTGATTTTTATGATTTAACTTCCCTAGAACTAATATTTTGCTCTTAGATACTTTTAATTATAACAATTACTAATTTAAAGAAACAGAAACGTTGGGTCTACAGAAGAAAGTATGGAATAAAAATGTATAAAAATTTTTGATTGTAAAAGTAATATTTTTTTAATTCTAATACTATTGGCGATATTCTCGCATTTTGTAAGGCGGAAAAATGCACCAATTATTTCCTCTTTCGAACTTTGTAAGTCATTACACAAAGTACAATATTAATCTATGTATTTTTCTATTGCAAAATCTAATGCTTCAAACAGTTTTCATTTAGTGAAGCCAAGAAATATTAAAATAGATAATTTGAAAGAAAAAAAAATTGGCAACAACAATATATTTTAATGGGGTGATTAATATTTAAATGTAGATAGCTTAAGAGAAACTTTTATTTTCTTCTCTAATAACCGACTGCTAAATCCTCTTTTTTTTAAAAAAAATTATAAAATACGATGCTTCTTTTTAACTTCTGAAAATTTATTTGTAATATAATAAAGAGATTTGAATAAAACATTTTATTGATTAAAAAATATTTTGTTCAACAAATATAGAGTTTTATAAAAGCATGTTTTTTTAAAGAATGTGATTATACACCAGCTTTTTTTAATTTTATTGTTTAGTTTGTTCTTTAAATTGATACAATTTATGTGATATACAAACGTAGATGTAGATTTGGAATGATATATTTATCAATTTCTTCAGTATAAGTTTTATAATTATTAACACGAATATGCAGTCAATATTTTTAAGCATCTTAAAATTTCTCAACATTTTATCTATCGTCTTAATCTTAAAATAATTTTTTTTAATTACCTGTCCATGCTATTTTGCAGAGTTATTTTATCAACTATTTAATTAAATTGTAACATTTCTAAAAATCCAGGGCTGATTGTGCTCCGGAAAAAATCCGGATTTCCGGAATTTTTGCTAACAGTGATCCGGAAGTTTCCGGAGATCGAAGGTTCAGACGTTTCAAAAAATCCTTGATCACAAAAACTTCCGGAAATCAAATTTTCAAAGGTGGAACTTAAAAACACAGTTTATTTTATTTGTTTGTAAGGGAGAGCCAGAGAGATACTTAATAAGCTTATATTCATGATTAATATTCATTTTTTATCAGTAAATAGTTGTTATAATCATAAACTCAAGAAAGAAAGACATATTTGTAAATATTAATTACTTCTCCAGGTCATCATAGGTATGTGTAAATGGTATAGGTATGCGTAACATTTTAAATATATTTTAATCAAACTAAGAAATACTGAGAAAAGGGGAAAAAAACTTGTTTAAATTATTTTTTAATTTTTCAATTGAAACGGGGTTTTTTTTTATTTATTTATTTATTTATTTTTTTTTGTTGAAATTTTTCCGGAATTTTGACTTGGGCTCACAATCACCCCTGAAAAATCTCCTTCTGTAAGCTGTCACGTTTATTATTTTTCCATCTGTGGCAGAATTTTTTCTGTAACCAACTTCCCTAGCGCTAATAACTTATTAGCGCAAAAAATAAAAAAGGTATAACCCTGAATGACTTTTGCTCTAATTATTGGATTTTCGTGAATTAAGTGTCAATCTTAATTTCTCGATAAAATTGATAAGCTGCAATATTTTGCTTTAAAATACTTTTAATTTTAACAAATATTAGTTTAAAGTAGCAGAAACATTGTGTCTACAGAAGAAAGTATAGAGTAAAAACTTTTAATTGTAAAAGTAATATTTTCCTAATTCTAAAAGTATATGCAATATTCTCGCGTTTTGTGGGCGGAAAAATGCACGAATTATTTCCTCTTTCGAATTTTGTAATTCATTGCACAAATTAAAATTCGTAATTAAGATAAACGATAATAAATTAAAATTCGTACATTAATTAAAAATCATAAATTTCGTGCAGTTACTCCCAAAATAAAGATCGCAAATCACGCGAATAGGACTCCTTAAAAGAAGAGATACTCACATAAGTGTTGGTTGAAACTCTAGGTAAGTTAAAATAGGTGTTCTTTAAAGAAAAGAAAAAAAGATCATCATTTCAAGAGTGAACTATCTTTTAAACTTTCTGCGATTTCTGAATTTATTTTATATTATTATTTTGAAATTCTAGTTGAAGATTTCTTTGAAAATTTCAAATGAGAATAGAAAAATCATGATTATTTCATTCCTCTTTGATGCGCAAGAAAGGTATCTTTGAAAAAAAAATTCTGCAGAAAGGAAAACCAAAATTTTCCCCTTCCCAAATGAAAAATCTTTCTGCAAAAACTCTGTCACTTTCTGCGACAATGTCGCTGTGTCCCCGCAATTCTATGATGGGGTAATATACTAATCAATTGTTATAGTACTTTAATTTAGGTTTTTCTCTTTAAAAAAATCAATTTTTTAACTACCAGCAGTCAAAAAAAAATTAAGTAAATAAAATAAATTGAAATAAATTTATATATACATACGCATACAGGGGTCTGTCCAGGCCAAATTTACTACTGTTTAGCGGTATCGTCACAAGTTAGGAAAAATGGTAGTTTCACAAAATACTTTTTCTTAGAATTCTGTAGCCCGTAAGAAACGATAAATCCATATTTTTACCACATTTTTGTGTTGATTTTTAATATAATTTTTAATTTTCACAAATTATGTCTTAAATTTTCTCAAAATAGGTATCTCTCAGAAAAACCTAGACAGACCCCTAATATATATGTATATATATATATGTGTGTATATATATATGTATATATATATACACGTCACATTCGTCCCCATTATAAACTTAATCAATAAAATACTGAAAATATTCTTTACTCCTTGGTTTCATTAAAAAATATGCCTTTTCTGCTGATTCTTGGGTTTTCTCGAAAGTCTTAGGTCAGTGATTCTCAAGCTTTTTTTTTTTTGGCGCGGCATACTTTTAATGATTTTGAAATTTGACGTCACACAAGAAAAAAGATAAGTTTAAAAGTTGTTTATTTACCTATATTACACTGTGTAATATAGTTTATAATAAATAATTTTGAATGTGAAATAAAATATGTACTTCAAATTCACATTTATTAACGGATTAATTACAAATTAACTTTTTTGCTGTAAAATAATTGCTATAAAATAAAATAATAAATAAAATAAAATAATTTAATTTTTTGTTTTTTTGCTATTTATTAATTATTAGTTTCTTTTTCTTAGTTATTGTTAGTTTTTTTTTTTACATTAACTGTTATTTTTTTGTGTTTCCTTGTTAACTTGTTTTTTTGCTCATTATTAATTGTTAGCTGGTTTTTGTTAGTTATCCTTTGTTGATTTGTTTTATAACTATTAATTGCATAACTTATTCTAATTAGCTTTTTTTTAGGTTAATATTTAGCTTTCTTTTGTTAATTACGCTGAGGACAAGCTCGCAACTAGCAACTTTTTCGTCCCTCAATGAAATAGGTATCCCACAGAAACAAATTGATAATTTGTAAGCTATAAATCGTTTGTGGCTGCCCCCTTTTACATGGGGGACGCTAGAGAATGGGGATTTAAACGGCGAGACACCACTCGTCTGGTCAGCAGAGGGGGATATAAGGAGTGATAGATTTATGAGGAATTAGAATGCACAACACCTTATCTTAACAATTTGTTCTTGTGGAATATAGCATTTCTTTTCTGTTTCATTAAGGGACGAAAACGCTGCTAGTTGCGAGCTTGTCTTCAGCCTTAATAATTTCAGTAGTCATTAAATTTCCTACTTATTTTAACATTTTAGGATTTTCAGAGACAGTACTATTGCCGTCAAAGATATTCATGCCTTTAAAGTGTGAAAAAATTATAAACCGTAAATATAATATTATATATGCGTATATTAACTAATTTAAACTAATTTTAACAAATTTAATTTAAACTTTACTCGTATTAAAAAAAAGCAATATATTTTTTACTATATCATTTCTAAAATTTGAAGGCACACTTTGAGAGTTTGGTGGCGCACAAAAGTACTGTGGCACAGTTATGAGCTATGTAATTCTTTTGCAATTTATGTAGTTTTCAATGTTTTTTTCTTCATAATTTTGCATTGCTACAACTTATATTTATTTCAGTAAATGATAATGATTTCTAAAAATGTTATTGTAGCTCACCCAGCGTATGATGAAAGGAATAAAGAATCCCAAAATTGGAAAGGATGGCCACAAGCGAGTGAGGAGCAACCTGCTCTGCCTGAACCTCGGATCTATGCGGAGGTGAGTCTTCTTTTATTTAGAACTATTATTGTACAGCTCATATAAGGTATACTCAATTTACACAGGTTTATTCAATATATCGGGTAAATGTGCTCCGGAAAAAATCTGGTTTTCCAGATTTTTCGCTAATTGTGATCTGGAAGTTTCCGGGGATTGAAGGTTCAAACGTTTCAAAAAGTCCTTGATCACAAAAGTTTCTAGAAATCAAATTCAATAGAACTGTTACACCTCTTTGCAATTCTGTTGGCCGTTGTGCCTTCCAATGAGGTGAACTGGATTCAAATCCAAGCGATGGCTGGTCGATATGAATTTCGCATGCGGCTTGCACCGACCACAGTGCTGACGTGAAATATCCCCCTTGCCTTCAGGCTAACCGTAGGAGGGTCTCGCGCGGTTTTCTTTAACATGTAACGCAAATGTGGATTAGTTCCTTAAAAAAAATCCCCCACGAAGACACATTTCTCCCAATACTTGATCCAGGAGCTTCTGGGTTGGGTTCAAAATTACAAAGCTACGGAGTTGAGCATTAGTAGGCGTAAACCCATAAAATTGGGTCGGTTGTTCAACCACAACTCTTAAAATAAATAATCTGGATTTGAGACTGACCTGTTTCAATTCTCCCCACAATGTTCCACCTAATTCCATCAGCTAAACGTATGCGTGATTATGAAGTCTTCCTCAACTAGGTACTCCCACACACATGAATAGTTTGTCTACGGTAAGAACTCACCCTGCCACAAAGTCTGAGGCCGTCTGCTTCTATTTAAAAAAAAGAATAGTGCATTTCAGGAAGGTAGCTTTTCTTCACTTTATAGCTAACACAATAGACCGAAAAGATTCCCTTTCTTTGGCTGACCCAACCCGAAACCTGTCCTAAACATTGACCCCTACTTGAAATAGTTATACTTTGTTACCATAGTCACCGCAACGGGATTAGACGAATTGCTAGGGGAGTTCTTACTTTAGACAAACTATACCATGGTTGCCACTTCACAAGGAGAACAGGGAACACCTGGAAAATACAGGAAATTTAAAATTCATTTAAAATAAGAGGGAAAATGCAGGGAATTTTGATTTCTTCTTAACAAATTGGGAAAATACAGGGAATTTTGTTTCTTATTTCCGTCTTTTAAAAAATGGTGACCACTCAAAGCTTTATGGGATATTTAACCATGATATTTCAGCTATACTAAACTATTTCATTTACTATAGCATTATTTAAGTACGTTCAGCTGTTTTTTAAAACTAAGGAATATAGTTAGCCCAATATATCTCACACAAGAGCACAGTAATTGTTGTTTCCTCTTAAAGTAAATTTAATTTTCGCAGAGTACACAAACGTTTTTTTATTTTTACTCCTAAATGTGACCACTATATATTTTCTGGTATTCGGCTCAGAGGTTTTTATTTATCATGAATTGATTTGCATTTTTTTACTTGAATTCCTACTATGATGTGTATTATTGAAAAGGGTATGTTTTGTACTATATTTTCTACTTTTTCCCATAGATGTCCACTAAAAACTTAGAGAAATTCATGAAATCAGAGATGTCTAATGCTATAAAAGAAGAGCGTTACAAAATGGAGCGTGAGGAAAATACAGTCAAGTTTAACAAAGTAACTATTTTAGATTTTCATTAAAATTGCTGCCAAATGGCCTATTTAAGTAAGGATTGCTGATACATTGAAAAACTGGGTTCTAGTCTAGTAAATAAAAGAAAAAACTTACTGGCTTGGCCAAATTTACTACCATTTAGCGGTACCTTCGCAAATTCAACTTTAGGAAAAAGGGTAGTTTCACAAAATACTTTTCCCTGAAAAATAATTTTTGTACCCCAAAAGAAATGATACACCTATATATTTACCATATTTTTGTGTTGATTCTTTAACATACAGGATATCCGCGCACCTGGAAAGTCATGAATTTCATTATTGAACGTAATTTGTCATGAAATGTTATGATTTTAACTATTTTTTTTAAACAAAAGCATGGAAAGTCATGGATTTAGATTGCCGAAAAATCCACCCCCTCCCATTTTTATCTTGTTCCGAATATCTGAATTCATAACAAAATCATCACTCACAGTCATATTTTATTAGAATATAAAATGTTTTTATCATGTTTTTTAAAAATTTTGGTGTTCTTTCAAAATATGAAGAAAAAAAGCATAATGTCTAGAATGAATTATCTTTTAAACTTTTGTGATTTAAGAATTTGTATTTTTTATTATTTTATTAATTTAAAATTCTAGCTGAAGCAAAGCAATCATCGACGAATTTTTTAAATTCCAAAATGAAAACAGGAAAATCAGGAGTATTTCTTTCCTTACTGATGAACAAGAAAAGTATCTTTAGAATAAAATTCTGCAGAAAAAAAGAAAAAAAAATTATTTGCTTTTGCATTTTTTTCAGCTATTTTATTGTTTCAACTCTTTCTTTACGTTTTTAAATTTAAAATCTATAAATATGAAGAGGCATAATATATCAGTTTTGGTTATACCTATCATTTTAATGAATGTTATTATAATACTTTTTTAAAATTTATTGTTGTGTTTTTGTCGGAGAAAATAATAACTTCGTTCATTCATGAAAAATTGTTGGAATTAGTCATGAATTTGAAAATCTAAAATGTAGCAGTCAGAGTAGCATAAATGTAGCAGTGAATTTGAAAAAACCCGGGTAAAATTGGGCTTTATTTGAAAAAACCCGGGGGAAATTAGGTTTTTTCATTTATTGCTCATAAAATTATCATTTATTGCTCATATTGCTGTGAAAATATTTTTATTTATTAATAAGCTTAAAAATAGAAATAAATCCAAAAAGTTATTTTAATTTTGTTGTATGTATTTTATATTAGGTTTAAATAACACATTATCATTAATACACATTTGAATCTTTATTGTTAAGTACATAGCGTTTCACAATTTTTAGCTCAAGCATTATGAAATATAAATGCAGTAATATAAAAGGAACAAGTTTATTAATCTTTTTGTTTTCACACACATTTATTTACTATATTTATTAAACTTATATATGTTTCCTGTTATAAACAGTAAAAACTAAAATTTCATCTGACTTTAATAAAAAAACTGAAATGAATATTTAATGGTCTTCAATGTTTTTATAATAAGAGAAAGTGAAATTGTAGTTATGTATAATTATAAGGAGCACCAGTTACTTGTCCCATTTTTCTTCTTCAAATAATTAACCCTAGGAAAATGATTTAATATTTAGATGAATAATTTTAAAGGGTTTTCTTGTAGGTAGTTATAGCTTATTTTTTTAAAGCCAGAAAATAAAACTGTTTAAATGTGTTAATGTATCACTTTCCTTTTTACTAGAAATTATTAGATTTTGATTATGGAGATGAAGACGAAGAAGACATTCCAAAAAATGAAGACAACCTTCAAAATACACCAAATGCATTAGCTCTGAGGTATGTTTTTACTGTTCCCTCATATCTTATACCCTGTGGCAGAATTTTTTCGAGCTATCTGCGGCTAAACTCTCTAGCACAAATTTCTTTCTGCAAGATACTTTTAATTATAATGTATGTTACTAATTTAATTAGCTATACTAAACTATTTAATTTACTATAGCATTACTTGTTTTAAGTTTGTTGAGTTGGTTTGTATTTCAAGATTTTCTAGCAATTATATAAAACTTGCCCAATATAGCTCACACACAAGACTACAGTGTCTGTGTTTCCTCTTACAGGGATGAGATTTTTCCGCTTTTTAGCGGATTTCCGCCTTTTTTGCTTTTGTCTCTTGAATTTCAGCCTTTTTATCAAAAACTCCGATTATGCAAGTTTTTTTTCTTTTTTTTTCATATAAATGTTCCGCTTTTTCTGAAAATCCAACCGTTAAAATGAAATAATTATATTTCTTTTCGATTTTTAAAGATAAACAGAAAATTCAAACTACGTAGCTGCCAACCTTTCCGCATTTTTAATAATTTTAGCTATTTTCTCCACTTCTACGAGCAAAAAATAAGATTTTCCTCATTTTTATCAGATATCTCATATTTTCGTAAGTCAGACGTCACTGCATTTTAATATCAAACATCGATTTTCTTATTCACCTGATTTAAAAGTTGTGCATTTCGATTCTTATTCATGCAATTTTAAAATCGTACATTGCTTATTTACGAGGTTTAAAAATCCAATATCGCTATTTGTATTTACGCGTTTTTAAATTCCTATGTAGTGATTCGTATTCACGTGAGTTTAAAATCCAATGTCGTGATTCCTTTATGTGGTTGTAATATGAAACATCACTTTTCGTATTTACACGTGATTTAAAAATTAGGCTTTGGGTGCGTATTCAGTTAATTAAAAATTATGCATCTTGATTCGTATTTACGCGATCTAAAAATAAGGCAACATGATTTGTATTTTCACATTTTTGAAATCCAATATTGAGTTTCGTAGTCACGTGATTTCAAAATCCAAGATCGCAATTTGTATTCTCGCGATTTCAAAATCCTTTATCACAACTATTATAAGAAGTAAGTTTTTTTCTTGAATTAGTTACTATATAGGTGGCAGTTGTTCTATCGACGATTTTTGGTATATAGGCATTACAACATCAGCCAAACTGGATGAGAATATGTTGCTGATTATTTTTGCTATAAATCACGTATTAGTAATTTTTAATAAAAAAAAAAAAAATGTTAATGTATGTTCTCAATAGATTAGTGTGCTAAACTAGGCAGTAATAATTGACTCCTTTGTGACTCAAGAAAAATATAATTTCCAGCTTTATTTTTTCAATTTGTAATTTTACTTTTTGCAAAATCTTAAGGGTCGATATAATTATACCTATATTAATAAATTAGTACACAATTAACTTTATATCAACACATAATTATTTATTATCTTGAATTGTCTGAAATTTATTATTAAACGATTGATTTACTCGTAAGATTTACTCGCGTGAAAATTCAGCTTTTTTGGCTTTTGGCCAATCTCATCCCTGCTCTTAATATATTGTGTATCAGGGGTGAATTTACTCCGGGGTCTTTGTATCATTCTTCCGGATTCAAAAACAAGAAGCAGTGGGTGTGAGTTTTGCGCCAATTCCGCATATCTCAAGACTATTGGTTCGCTGACTTCTGCAAATCAACACTTATAATTCGATGAAACTTTGGCTAAAACCCGTTAACGAGATGTTTACATAAATTTTTTTAAAACCAATTTGCATAAATAATTGCGTCCTACGTGATTTTTCTGCCAATTTGATTGTTTTGGTTTGGCAGATTTTCGCTATTTTGAAAATTTGGTACAGTGCCCGAATCTGCTAATATCCGGAATCTTATTCATGCGATTTTAATATTGAACAGCGATTTTCGAATTTAACTGATTTAAAAACTGTATTGTGATTCTTATTCACGTAATCTAAAAATCGTACATGACACATTCTATTCATGTGATTTGATAATCCAATATCGGGATTTGTATTTGTGCATTTTTAAAACCCAATATTGCAATTCATACTTGAGAGTTTAAAATCAAATTCCACAATTCATATTCACATGTTTTTAAAATCCAATATTGCAATTCGTATTAAGCACGTTTGTCATAAAAAAAAAACATCGATTTTTGAATTTTTATTCTTGATTTAAAAACTAAATATTGTGATTCGTCTTCACGCCATCTAGTGATTCGTATTCGAATGATTAAAAAATTCATTATAAATGTTAGTTTGAACAGGGTGCATAGCGTTTTTAAATAGTGCTTAAAGGTGTTTATTTTTTATTCAAGTTTTTAAAAGCCCTTAAAGGTGCTTTTTTTACTCAGGGTTTGCAAAAAGTGCTTAGTTTTCTATCTTTTCGAAAGAGATTTTTTCTTTACCGTATCGATTGTTTGTTCTAAATTACAAAAAATGCATGATTTTCACTATTTTCTCTGCAATATTTATCAGATAGTTATTTTATGATGATGTAAAGTTTTTGAAAATGTTTTTGAATTTTATTGACTCTACTATGTTTATAAATTAAGAACTTTAAGTAATAGAAAAAAATAATTTTTATTGCTGCACAAATCCTAATTACATACCCTCCAACTGCTACGGAATTTCCGTAGTTTCCGAAATCTTCTTTTCAGACGGTAGCAAAATTAATGTCTTAATATTTAAAAAAAATTAATTTTAGCGTAACTTGTCCACTATTACTTATAAAAGTGCAGGCCATATGGCTAGGTTCTTAAGTTCTGATAAAAGTTTTATAAGAGATCCATTTGCTTTAAAGATTTATACTTTGGTTCGCTACCACTAGAAAGAATTATTTTCAAAATCCTCATAAGTTGGAGGGTATGTAATTATGATTTTTTTATTTTTTTTTTATTGTAAAGTGATTAAAAATATTTTTTGAGGGCTTAAAATATACTTAAAAGATGCTTATTTTTTGCTGGAAGATTTGGCTACACACCCTGTTAAAAAATTGTGTTAAATATGAAAGATGTATGGTATTGATATAGATTTTTCGCTCATAAAGTTTTCAGAGTTTTTTACTTTGTGGCACAATTATCAGGGATGTGATTCTTCCGCGGATCCGCTGATTTCCGCTTTTTTCAGATTTTTCTATATCTTCCGCTCTTTCTTCATAAATTTCCGCGCGAAAAAAATTTTTATGCAGTAAATGATATTTTGTTGAAAATTTTATTCTTCCGCGGAGCGAAAGTATTGAACCCACCAATAAACCTTTCTTCACATGTCAATCTGCTGGCTGGGGTAAAAGTGGTTGACCTTGGTAAAACAATGCCGTCTCCTACTCCACTACTCTCTTATCTTTTCAGGGATGAAAGACTTTTTAAAATTTCCGACCATGTTCCAAAAACTTTTGGGGAGTCGAACGAACGATAAACTAGTCGGACTTGCGACGAACTCTCCTCCCCTCTGCAGTAGCCTCCTGAGAAAATGATCTTCAGAAGAAAATAGGTAGAATTTCGGCATGTACGCCGTAGCCTTGACTACCGTGACTTCCGCTATAGATTGGAAAAAAGTCCTAAGCAGTTTCGTTTCGGCCGCTGATATTTGATTTCTTTTGCTTGGCTGATATGCAGAATTTTAAATATTAGGAACTGGGCCAGAATCTGCTAAAATTGCGATTCTTATTTAGATGATTTTTATGTAAATCATCGATTTTCGTATTTAACTGATTTAAAAGTTACTTGTTGAGATTCGTTTTTACACGATTTAAAAATCATTACTCGCAATTCCCATTCACGCAATTTAAAAATTCAATATCGCGATTTGTATTTAAGCGTTTTTAAAACCCAATATCGCGATTTGTATTTAAACGTTTTTAAAACCCAATATCGCGATTCATATTCCCGCTAGTTTAAAATCCAATGTCGCGATTCGTATTCATATATATTTTTAAATTTCAATATTGCGATTCGTTATCACGCGGTTGTAATATCAAACATCGATTTTCGTATTTATACGCGGTTTAAACATTACTCGTTGCGATAAGTATTCACGGACTCTAAAAATTATGCATCGTGATTCTTATTTACGCGATTTAAAAATTCAATACCGCGATTTGTATTTTCGTGCTTTTAAAATCCAATATCGTGATTCTTATTCACGTGATTTTAAAATTCAATATCGTGATTCTTATTCACGCTATTTTAAAATTGAACATCGCGATTCTTATTCACGCGATTTTAAAATCAAACATTGTGGTTCTTATTCACGCGATTTTAAAATCCAACATCGCGATTCTTATTCAAGCGATTTTAAAATCCAACATCGCGATTCTTATTCACCCTATTTTAAAATCGAACATCGCGATTCTTATTCACGCACTCTTAAAATCCAACATCGCGATTCTTATTCACCCTATTTTAAAATCGAACATCGCGATTCTTATTCACGCACTCTTAAAATCCAACATCGCGATTCTTATTCACCCTATTTTAAAATCGAACATCGCGATTCTTATTCACGCAATCTTAAAATCCAACATCGCGATTTTAAAATCCGATATCGCCTTATTCACGCGATTTTAAAATCCGGCATCGCGATTCTTTTTCACGCGATTTTAAAATCAAGCATCGCGATTCTTATTCACGCGATTTTGAAATCCAACATCGCGATTCTTAATCTAAGGCCTCTAAAAATTGTGTGAGAAATGAACTTTCTTGTCCTATCAACACTGATGATCAAAAGTCTGCAAAACGCAGTCTACAGATCAGTCATGTTAATAAAAGACCATCGAAAAAACAAAGAACTGATGAGAAAGTCCATAAAGGTCCTTTGACCATTAAAGAAATGTTTTTTAAAATGATGTGATACATAAAATCCTGCTTATGCATAATTACTCAAAGTTATCTAAATTATTAAAAAAAAATTATTTTAATCAAGATTTTATTTAAGAACATAATTACCATTTATTTATATTTATTTGAATAGATAATAATGTAATCATTATCAGATTGGCTATTGAATTCATATCATTTTTTCTTTTGCACGTTTAATGCTACAGTTATAAACTTCCTCTTTTTTGTGTTTTTGTCAATCACATCCCTGAATTATACCTGGTTGTATACCATGCACAGGGAATTTTTTTTCTTGATTTGAGCATACCTGCCAAGACTCCTGTTTTTTAACGAAGACTCCTGTATTTTACAACTATCTCCTGTTTAGCCTGTATATTCTCACATTTCTCCATACTTGTTGAAGAAATTAAAAAAACCAAACAAATTTGGCAATAAAATATCCGCTGATGGCAAAAATACTTCTCTTCCTCGACAGATAGTGCTATTGCCAGTACTGCTGTATGTTGGTTTAATAGTTTAACTCTTGCAGTCAGGCTAACCGTGGGACATTTTCGTGGTTTTCCTCACCATGTAACGCAAATGCGAGTAAGTTCTATTCAAAAGTACTCCACGAAGGCAAATTTCTCCCAATAATTGATTGATCCGGGAGTTCCCTTGTCTTCTGGATTGGGTTCAAAATTACAAGGCTACAGAGTTGTAGCCGTTAACCCAAAATTGGGTCTGCTGTTTAACAACGGTTATAAAATAGTTAAAGCAATTATAAATAATGGTTTTAAAAAAATCTTCTTTAGATTAAGATTTATGTACATTGCTAAATTTAAGTGCTTATATTATTTCCAATTTTTGAATTTCTCTTTTTGACTTACATGATTACGCATATGATGTATCAGGTACATAGCCGCCAACTCTACTGGATTTTGCCAGTTTTTCCTGGTCTATCGGTTTAATTAAAAATCTCCTGCTTTTTGTACATTTTAGAAAATTCCCTAAAATTGAGTAAGTTTCATAAAAAAAATTCCTATTGAAATGAAATTTTTGTACAGAACATTGCTTGCTTGCTAGAATATTTAAATAAGTATTGCAAATACATAGTGCACCTCATTTATAAAAATCAGTTCAGAACTTTTTTTTTTGTTTTAAAATGTTCAAATTATTTTTATTTCAGAACTCCCTCATTAAATTAATTAACATGTTTTAACTATCTTTGAGGAATTAAATGCCAATAACATTCGAAATTATGAGTAAACATAATACATAACCTTTCGAGTATGTTTAATGTCAATCATAACTGAAAAATATTGTAGTTTTTCTATGTCAGGGATGAGATTTTTCCGCTTTTTAGCGGATTTCCGCTTTTTTCACTTATCTCTTGAATTTCAGCTTTTTTTTTATCAAAAATTCAGATTTTCTAAAAATTTCACTTTTTTTAATAAGTATTCCGCTTATTCAGAAAATTCACCGATTTTCTAAGAGAAACAGAAAATTCAAACTACATAGCTATCAATCCTTTCTCATTTTTACTTATTTTAGCTATTTTCTCCCCTTTTACTCGCAGCAGATAAGATTTTCAGAATTTTTTTACCCGCCCTCCAGATAGATCCGATTTTTGTAGTTCAAACGACGCTGCTTCCTTTTAAAGTTCCCAAGCCTGGAATCTGCTAATATCTCGATCTTATTCACACGATTTTAGTATCAAACATAGCTTTTCATATTTGCGTGTTGTGATTCTTATTCACGCGATTTGAATATTGTACGTTGCGATTCTTATTTACGAGATTTAAAAATCCGATATTGTGATTCGTATTTACGCCTTTTTAAAAACCTATGTAGCGATTCGTATTCACGCAAGTTTAAAATTCAATGT